TTTTTTTTTTTTTTTTGTGGAAGCAGGGATTGAACTCAGACCCTTGCACTTGCCAGGGAAGCGCTTATTCCACTGAGCCATCTCCCTGGCCCCTAAAGTAATTTCTCTAATGCCATTTAGGTTCATTTTCAGAAGCAAAATATGTGTAAACAAAGCTTTTTCCCCTATGCCATTAAAATTTTTTAAGCCAAAAATTACTGAACAAAGAGTAAAATAATTGTACTATGCTTCCTGTCTCATTTTAAAATGAAAATGATGGCTCGGTAGGTTACTAAATTGAGTCACTTTAGCGTGTGTAACCTAGTGTGAGTTCCTGGATTTATGCTGATGTAAGCAAATCGCCCAACTAATGCCCTGAGTCAGTTGTTGGCTCTCAACTTCTTGGCTCCACTCAGCAGCGGGTCAGTTGTACATCCTTGTAACATCCCTGAGAAACTTGTTCTGACAAGGCCTTTGCTGGTCTCCAACAAGTTGAAACAGAAACCACTTTTAGTCAGAGCATGCAGAACCAGTGAGGAAGTAACACATTTCAGTACCTCTGGTGGGAAAGTCCATTTCGTTCTTCAGAGCTTCGGTCGCTGTATCCTTTTACTAATGTATATTTTGGGAAAGTGATGAAATATAAGCACGTTGCCCTCAGCATGTTGGGACCATGGAACTCTACACTTGGAGGAGGCAGCTGTAGGTGAAACTCCATCTTGTAGCGCCCTGATAAAGCAGTTCCCACCAGGAGCTAATGGTTAGTACAGTTGGTAGAAATTGCTTCATAACTTTCACTTAAGCCATCTGCTGAACTTGAATGCTAAAACATTATTCATGGCCCAGCTGAAGACAGAGAGGATTTCAGTTAGCAGGTACAAATACAAAGTTTAGTCTTAGATTTCTTCAGTAGGAAACATCTTTCTCAGTTGTTACCTCCTGGCTCTCCTGTGTATAATGTTCTTTCATATTCCTATATATAATTTTTCCTGTAAATAATGTTCGATTTTTCCTAAGGGAGGAGCTGGGGAGATGCCTCAGTAGAATAAGTGCTTGCCTGGCAAGTGCAAGGGCCTGAGTTCAATCCCCGGTTCTGCCAAAGAAAAGAAAAGAAAAGAAAAGAAAAGAAAAGAACAGAACTGAGAATTTCCCTAAGAGAAAGCAAATTTCTGATCTTCCAAATAGTGGTTTCTACCAGAAAATGAGTATCTCACTAGATGAGCCAGCAAGATCCAATCATTTGGCCAATGCCAGTTCTGGCTGATAACAAATAACAATTTTTATGACTCACTGAATATGTGCCTCATTTCCACATTTATCTGATTTACTTCCAAGCTCAGAGGTACCCACAGATACTAGTTTGATCAGCTAGTGACTTGACAGCTTAAACTCAACAATACAATGTCTATTCTAACAGCACTATTTGACAAATACAGATTTCAGTTATGCTGTGAATGGCACCTGGAACTTCCAGAAATCCATGCTGAAGATCATGATGAGGATTAGTTCATTCATCTTGCCACATCCATGTCCATTCACAGGTCACTATGGTCAGAACGTTTCTTCCAGGGCTGAGGATGTAACTCAGTAGTAGAGAACTTGCCTAGCATGTGCAAGGGCCTGGGGTCAATTCTAAGCACGTGCATGCAGGTGCATTACACACACACACACAGATACATAGACACACAGACACACCAACTTCC